GTTTGTCTTTGAACAAAATCTTTGCATTAGAAAATCTCCGTTCAATTTCAGTCCTTAAAAACGGAGCTCCATGTGATGCCAGAATGCAACTAGGACATGTGACATAATAATTGGCCTATGACAGAGTGCAAGGAATAAAATATTCCTCCTTCTGGTATATATCTAACCAGTTAGAGTCTCTGAAGGGCCACAAAGAGCTTTAACCTGTATGCACTATAAACCTATTGTTCTTAAAGCTTGTTAGATCCCGTTGAAACCAATGGAAGATCAAGCAATAATAATGACGAAATAGATGCGTGTATTTTTTTTCATTTAATCACTCGCTAAGGCGATGCTCACTGTGAAGCACAACCCACTACTTTGTGCGTAAAATAAATTGTATGGCAAAAATGTCCACAAAAACTTCCCATCGCGTCCCCTCCAAACTAATCTCAGCTGTGAACATTCGATCAAGCTTAATTATATGAAATCACATGTTTTACTTAGCCACTGATGCATTTGTCAACCTACTTATTTTTAATTATATTGACCGGATAAAGAGAACCGATGTTTCAACCACAAAGTGATGAACATTTCTGGCATCGTTTTGGTCAGTTTGTCACCGAATTCGCACTTCGGCGCTCTCTATTTGGGTCATTGTTGACTGTTCATAAAAGCTATGCTTTCAGGCCTGTCACTATACACAAATAATAAATCGATCATGTTAAATTCAATCATTCACTTGTAAGAAATTATTTGTGTAAATTACTTCATAGACCTTCATATCTGTTCATGGTGTTGTATTTTGTCATCAAGTTACTTTTCTTTAATTTCTTTCAGAAAGGATGAGGATTAGAATCGAGTATTAGCCACATCAAGTAATACCGGTGAATGGGAGGTCAATTTATCAGCGGCCATTTTGCATGATAGCATCTGAGCGCAAAGCGGAACTATGCGAATCCCGGAGATGTCAGTATGGTTAAACTGATTGAGCCATTTTGAAATATGGATCCAGTTCATTCATCCTCTGGTTCCCCAAAGTATTCTGTAGAAAGATCCACGAAACCGTGCAATAAACCTGTACTCTTCTCTGTTGATCATCGTTGGTCTGTTACGGATAGTGCGAACTCAAGAGCAATCGATGTATCCGATTCACAGCATGACATTTTACAGCTAACAGAAATCCGAAAAGTGCATTCAGAACCGGTGTTTCCACTGCGTGCAGAACAAAAAGAGGCATGTTTGAAAAGTTCAAAAACCGGACCAGATGATATGTTGCTGGACACACTACAGCCACCGCAATCTGCCTTACCCGATTCTTCGCTTTCGCCAACTAGCATCCCGTCATCCTCATTGTCTAGGCTCAAGGCTGATCCACCGCTAACTTCGGATGACTCAGCCAGCTCCATCGCTGGATCCGTAGAGCCGGGAGTTCAGGATTTAACAGTTAATGAAACTGTTCCCGACGATAGATGTGATGACGGCGCCACTGGCGGTAGTGATGGTGGGGTTCCTATCAATGAAAGAGATTCCGTTCTTTTTCCCCCTCGTTCTCGTGCTTTTTATTGTCGTGATTGGGTGTTTGACAAGATTTTACGGCACCTGAAAGCTTTGCATCAGGCAAACATGCTTAAAGCATGCATCAACACGGATGAATTGGATACTGTTACAGAGACTGCGACAGCTATATCCGGATCTGTACCCAAGCATCCCAGTGCTAGTGGATGCAGTTCACAACTCAGCCGAAAGTTGGTCCTTGTTGGTGGTCCTGGATCAGGTAAGACCACAATATGCCGCCGCATCCTGAATGCACAACACCAGGCTCGCAAGCTTTTCGAGTCAGGCCATGCATTTCACTCGGTGCCTTTATGCATTCAGGTTTCTGCTCATCTGCTAGCCACACACTTTTGCACGGTCCAATTACAGGACAGTCTAAACCCGGCCACGTTCATTCGTTCTGTTAGACATCAAATTTTGTCGTCATCCCTACCTCTGGCTAGTCGTTTTTCACAGCTAATCGAATCTGACAAGAGTCCATTCGGTCAGTATCTCTCATCCGAGCGTATTCGATCTGCACCAGATGAAGCATTTAGGTATGGTATTCTGGCGGCATTGAATGCCGCCACAAACGGGATGACAAAAAATCGTGGCACAGAAAAAGTGTCACCGGGTGATACTGTCGTTGATTCCGATCCTTCTAATACACTGTTCTATCCGGGCATCCGACAGGTTTTTCTATTGATTGACGGAGTAGATGAATGTGCTTCTTCCATGGCCCAAGAATACGCAATGGCAGATCTACAGCGAGTTCTTATTGGTCCACAGTCGGATAAACGACGAAGCAGTCACTCGTCAAGTGCCGAATCCCGAAAAAGCAAAACCATTTTGGAGTTATTAGCGAATAACATCGAACATTTTCCTGACTGGTTGATGCTTTTCATCACATGCAGACGACAAAATCGAAATGTGATCAGTCGTACGTTTAACGGGATTCGGCGTATTAGTATTGATGACCTTCATCGTTCGGCAGTCGGTCACGATGTTCAACAATATATGCTTTCTCGCCTCGCCTCTGAAAGGGAATTACAATTTGCATTTCGGGCACATATGCACTCCGATTTTCTGGGACTTCTTCGGATTAAAAGTAGTGCTTGTTTCCTCTACCTGGAAACTGTGCTGGATGCCTTGAGTGATTTGTGGGTGAAACCGGAACAACTGGCACTAATTCCTGGCACCTTGAATGGACTATATTTGTGGTTATGCCAGCGTATCTTCTCCTCGTCTTCCAATACGCGAAACGTTTCCTGTCCAACCTATTTTCCCCTAGTTCGACCTCTGCTAGAGGTGATTCTTGCCACTCCGCAACCCATTAGTGAGCGAGAACTGTACGATATACTATCAACAGTAGATCCCTCATTTTCGCACGAGGATTATTGCGGTCGCTTAAAGCTGCTGAGAACCGTTCTTGTTCTTATGACACCGGAGGAGGAACGCCGACAGCTCGGTTGTAATTCTGTGGTGTCTGCAGATCTAACTCGGCAGTGTGACAATGCTGATCGTCATATTCACTTCTTTCATTCAAGTTTTGCTGAATGGCTATTGGATGTGAAACATTGTACAGTGGTTTATTTGTGTGATATTGAACATGGTCGCAACCTCATTCAACATGCACTAGAAGGTCGGGTCTATACAGGACGTTTAATGAGCACCATCACCGCGATGCCTTCAGTGGATGTCACTGGCTCTCGTGGTGCTGCTGCACCGGTGGAAGATTCTGAACGTAATGGAGCTTTTGTTCGACAAGCAATATCAGAGGCGGATCGACCACTCACCGATCCGGTGGATTCTGTCTACACGCACACAAATTATACGTCCGATTCTCTGCAATTGCTGGAACAGGGAGACGGTGCATCTCATCAAGCTTGTTTCGGGCCTAGCGATTCCCTTGTGCTCGCGGCTAGAAAGGGTGAATACGAGAAAGTTCGTGCCCTGTTGGAAAACAAGGTCGATGTGAACCAACTGGATGAGGATGGATGGTCGGCACTGAGAACAGCCTCGTGGAGAGGTCATATGGGTAAGTTATATGTATTTCAGAAACCCACAAGACTGCCTTGCTTTCACTTTATCCAAATCACATTTATTTTGTGATGGTATAATTAGAGCCTGGAGAAGACCATAACACTGGCACAGTTAGGTAAATGAAATTTTTAATCCAGAAACGTCTGATATGCATTTGTAACAATTCGGGGAATGCGTTCTTCTTAGAGGTCAATAATTTTATTACTTGTGAGATTTTCCATAGACCGATCCTCACGTTACATCACGTACATCATGTGGCCGACCTCTCAGTCTACAGTATTGGAGAATCATCTTCAACGTAGAATCAACACATGCATATGGTGGAGGGTGTGACAAGTGATGAGTTCCGATCCCGACCAGAAATCGAATTTATTTTCGAAGATCTTCTTGTTCAAAATAGCCATTCTCTCCGTAATTTAATATGACCACTCACTGATGGTTGATCGAATTCAGCAGACAATAATAAACCTTTTCATGACCGATTACAGTGTATCTTAGACGAAGTGGTCAATGAAAAAGTTTTGAAAGACAAATCGAGATTCTTCACAGTGTATGATCAAAGTTGTGAACATAAGTGAGCTCCTCTTCTTTGTACAATAACATGTTGCGTACCGCCTACCACATCTGTCACACGAGCTAGTTTTAAAATGTTATATCCTCCTATTTCCTGAAGGTTAGACGATCTGGCTGTCTCGGAAACTGTGGCATGTTCTCAGTCTCTTTGCTACCTCAGCCTTCAACAATGGTCTATTTTAACCTTGTCACTGATTTAAAAATTCCATTTACTCCGTCAACCAAATGAGTAACCAAGTGACTGCTACCAAAGCCGTCGCGCGAGACCGCATGGATAGTGGTAGTTAAACTGAAACGGAAAAATTCGTGGTATCACAAATCCACTATCCTTTTTACTTGTTTCGTCACTTTTTTGATTTTGTACTCGTAAACAATTAAAGGAAGTGCATATTTACTTGCTTAGCCAATTTGAGGCTCTAAACGGTTTTGTTTATTAATTCGCTTACATTGTTTCAGAATGTACACAGTAGGAACAATGCAGAAAGCTGAAAATCTGCCCAGACAGAGTGCATAAAACTTGACTTGATCAGCCCAAGGCAATGCACATGCCAAAGCTTGATATTGTAAACGTTACCGCTCTAAACTGAAAGTTAGACACACGTAATATAAGCAATAATATGGTATTGCATAAATAATGAAATAAGAATGGACTAAGTTATGCGCTATGCATATTTTGATCAACTTTATTTCTTAGCTCACATCCTGTGCCAATCTTCGTGTTTGCGTGTAGTGTATCTTCTCTGCCAGAGGGAAGGTATTTTAGTAGAACTGTAAACATTTTAGCGCTTATAAATAGATACATATAATAAAAATAAAAATAATAATAATATTAGTGATAGATATTGATTATACTGAATGTAATAAAATGCCGAATGAAAGCTGCTGGGTGATCGCATTTTGTAGGGTTATGGACATATCGGTGGTTACCTCAGTGGATACAAGGATCCCTTTCACAGTTTGCATCATTCAAGGTACTGCTTCAAATTGAAACTCATTTGGGTTTTACTGTTTCATGTACAGTAACCCTTCACAGTTTTTCATGTGCATGTGGATGAATAATATTCTATACATTCGCGATTTCATTGGGATATTCTTCCAAGTTATCGCTCGCCAATTTTAACGCGCCAATTACACATGCGGTAAAATGAGATATGGCAATAAAGTGAGCTATTCACGAGCACGTTTCTATGCATGAAAATAATCAACTAAGCAAGCAACTCTTAATATTCTCACCCTTTTTGGAATCATGTTCATACGGTTATCTTGTCTTGGTCAGAAATTCGGGTTAAATACCCTTTGTCTGGATCACACAATCTGTAACTTCTGCTGACGAGACCCAACCAGATCGAAACACCTGTTCAGTGTTTCCCAGCTTTTCAGTTCACGCGTTATATACACGAAGAATTCCGCAAACAAATCAAATTCTCCTCTTTTCTCATACAACAAATGATCAGGCTGTGAAAGTTTCCAACCGTATCATAATCCGGGAGACTGGTGCTGAAATGAGTGAGGATCGATACTCGCAACAAGCTCGCATAGATGGATTGTGCTATACCGCGTAAATTCTAAACGAGAAACGGTCTGATCAGCTGCCTGGTGGCCGGGTGGGTAGTATGCTTGCGTTCTACCTGTGAGGTCCCGGGTCCGATACCCAGTTGTGTCGATGGATTTGCACTGCTGATGAGATCCAACAAAATCAAAGCAGCTGTCCATTGCTTCCCAGCTTTTCATCTCACGCCTCATTTACACGACAAGTTCATAATACAAATTCTAAATTAGTCTAGAAAAAAACAACAACAGTCGTGTTGCCAAGACTGAATTTCGTTCTCGGACGAAATACTTAAGAAGCAATTTTAGTCATGAGTGTAAAAAAGGCTAATATATCAAGATCTATGTCCTCGTCATATATCGTGATTATTTTCTTATTTGTTTCTAACAGCGTCTTATTTGTTGTCGGGACTAACACACTTGGCTCGACGTGGCGCTCAGGAACCCGGGTGCTTTTACACATGCAGTTTGTCACAGTGTATCATACTGCGGATAAAATTTGGTCGACGGCTGTCAGATAGTTGGTCTAATAATAAAATCTGCCGTGAGATAACGTATTAGAATTCTGCAACTGCCAACCATCTTGACTGTCTAGTACTTCATGGTGAATTCCTTTGTGTACAGAGCAAATGAAGTGTAAACTGCAAAGCTGGAAAGCAATGTATATCTATTTCGATATGGTTGGGTCTCAGCAGCAGTACAAATCCGTCGACTCAACTGAGGAGCCAACACGGGATTTCTCATGTAACAAATCATCAGGATTTGGAATGTTTCCAACCGAGTCGTAGCTCTGACGCGCTGAGTGTGGTGGATTCGCTGAGCTCGCAAAGATGATGTATGCTATATCGCGGTGAGGGCAACATGCAAAATGGTCTGATCAGCTGCCCGGGTGCATACTTGCATTTTATCTGCAAAATGCCGGATTCTATCTTCATTTAGGTCAAGGGATGTGACCCAACCAGATCTAAAGAGCAATCCAATGCTAACTAGCTTTTCAGTTCACGCATGGTTTGCTATATACAGGACGAAAATCACCAAATAAAATAAAATAAAATCCCGACATTTATTCAGTAATCGGTGTAGCCTCCTTTCGGAAAAATCATCTGTGAAATTGTTTGTCCGGCAAATAAAGGAAGAGACAAAGGGACAAACTGCACCAACGAAATAATGTCGGCCATCATAGCAACACTAATAATAATAAAAAATAAGTTACAGTCAATCTCCTGCTATGTCGCACCCCTCGGGAATTCGAAAAAGTGGGTAAATTCCAGGAACTGCGACATAGTAGGATAACAGTGATAGATGC